GGCCACTCTGATTGGGAACACTTTTTTGGTTGCCCTCATCATATCTCACTCCACCCATGAAAAAAGAAAACGGCTACCGGAGAAGTGTCAGCCTTAAAAAAAATGCGAAACCCATCCAAGGGATGGTTGGGGGATCAATAATCGCTTTATATGGTGAAAATCTGGCTGATTTAAAGTTAAGCTTCACCACAGTAATCTAACAGTAATCTTAAAACCCTTGAGATTTGCTAAACACCTTGATGCACTATCAAGACAGTACTTAACGATGGACGGTAAAGGAGAAAACTATTCCTCCCAAAATTCAGTTTTTGTTCGTTTGATTGCGAGAAGAAGGTTTGCGCTGGGATTCGGTAAAAGTGAAAAAAAGAACTAATCTCTTGTAATAATAACAATAACAATGACAATAACAATGACAATAACAACGACAATAATAATAACAATAACAATAACACTAACAATAACAGTAATAGTAACAGTAACAGTAACAGTAACGGTAACAATAACATCGACAACGACAACGACAACGACAACGACAACGACAACGACAACAATAACAATAACAATAACAATAACAGTAACAGTAACAGTAACAGTAGCAATAACAACAACAACGATAACAATAACAATAACAATAACAATAACAATAACAGTAACAGTAACAATGACAATGACAATAACAACAACAATAACAATAACAATAACAGTAACAGTAACAGTAACAGTAACAATAATAATAATAATAACAATAATAATAATAATAATAACAATAATAATAATAATAATTTTATTAACGTGTCGAATTGTTTTAGCTGAGGGATAACCCTCTACTAATAGAGGATACCTACATAAAAAGAAATTACAAAACCTAAGAATGATTTAAGATTAGTCTAGAAATTCAGCAAAGTTTGTCACCTTACATATTTTGGGTCTTGTCCTTTTATAAATCAGTGAGATAAGTTGATTCGAAGCAGCACATGGTTGTTGTTGATGATAGTCACCACGGGCCGTAAACTGCAGGTATAAAACTCAGGCTCCACTTCACTTGCACAATGTACGTAACTTTCAGCAACGCTGTTATCGCACTTCTTACCTTTCCGACCCCCTTTGACTATTTTTTGTAGAATATAAACGACTGTAGAGGAGTTTTTGAGCAAAATATTTCAGATGCAAATTTCTAAAGTCACATGTTTCATTCAACTCAAAATACGTACACCGCGTCAGGAATTTTCCCGCCTTTTATTGGATCATGAAATGTCCACGGCATCGAGTCGATTTTTAATTAATTTACTTGCAT